TGTTTTGGGAAGAGAAACGTTTTATTTCGCTGGGTCTAGCAAACCTGCCAGACTACTTTTGGCTTGACCAAAACTGGACGAGAACTCTGCTCACAGGACGATGCAAGGGGTAAGTCAGTGTGATTGCATGACACTGGTGATGGGGATGCCATACAGATTCATGTCAAAAATACCAAACTATCCCTTTAAAACTAAACTGTAAAAACTTACAGTATTATAAAAGATCTCTGCATTAATACTGAAAACATTTAGTATTTGCTGAAAAAGCAGCAGCATACAATAAGAGTATCATCATTACCTTTTCAGGTCATTGTCTTGTATCAGTTATATATGCTTCTTTTCACATTTTTTTATTTTAACCCACAATGGGTTTTTTTTAAGCATTTGATTTTACATTGCCAAATCCCTTTTTAGTGTTAATATAAGCAGTCACTAATCTAGCTCAATAGCCCAACAAACGTGGTTCACTGGAGATTCAATGCTGTTATTGGCACATTCTATTTCACAGCAGTTTGGATTTTTGCGATTTGTTCATACTGTCAGGATTTTGGCACTGATGGCTGGCTTGATTGCACATTTCCTGCACCTGTCTAGCTCTGCCCTGTTCCTCATCAGATCCACCTGTTTCGGTTTCCCTATTTAAGCTCCCTGTTTCCCAGGCCAACAGCACCAGATTAGTCTTGAGCCTTAGTGCCTCTGGTAGCACCCGCTACTTCTGCTCAGTCTACTGAATGGAACCATCCCCATTCTTTGGACACTGGACTGAAATGTTAAACCAGACCTTTAGTCATGGAAGCCCTAGCCGCTGTAACCACTAACGATCCACAGTCCATCTGTGATTTTATAAAATTGAATTATCCCACTGTCTGTTCTGAGGCTATTTCACATACTTGCTATTGTTATCAAGACTAATTATCCAAACAACTGAGTTTAATCTTTTTAGAACTTAGAAACAAACACAGAGAGCAAACTTCTAAACAAACAAAAGTAAGTTATAATAATAATCCCAAATCAAGAAAATAAGAAATGCACTTTCATACAGTTGTTAACATCCATAAAGCTTAAAACCATCAAACATTGATCAACAGTCTAAGAAGAAAGAGTTTTTAAAAGTAGCCAGAGATAAGCTTGTCTAATGGTAAATGGTAAATGCCCTGCACGTATATAGCACCCTTTTAAATCAGCAGACTACAAAGTGCTTTACACTATATTCAGTCATTCTCCCATTCAAATGGAATGTGGTTCTAAAATGGGCAAAGAGGGACTTCCCGCATGACTCCAACATGGAAGCAGCTTGGATGGCGAGCTCCTGACCAAAGTTTTCTCTTTTTTTCCAACTGATAAATACTAACCCATAAAGGGCGTTAAATTATGTCAAAAGGGAAACAAGACAGAAAATCTCTAAAACCTGACTTACAGAGACAGCATTGAAAGGGAGAAGTTATGCTTCAGAGCTAAATGTTCTGGGCAGAGAGTTAAAACATACAGCAGAGGGTGCAGAATCAAGCCCCCGGAGTCATGACAAAAAGTTCCTAATTTACCCTGAATAGGGCAAATTTGGTAAAGATTCTGAATGAACAACGGGATTTTTGGCAGGAAATTTCGAGACTCTCAAAGAAATTAATGAGATTAAAGTTATCAAAATCAGGATTAACCATGCCGAAATACAGATTAAGGAAGCAGAGGCATGTTTGCAGTTCTTGGAAGAGGCTATGATCGAGCTCATTGAGCTACATAAATGCCTTAAGGCACGACTCATGCACCAGAAGGGACGTTTGAGGAGGGAAAATATCAGGAGAGTGCCCTGATTAAGGTGTAATCCGTATACATTCGGTGTCATGGCTCAGAACAGAGGACCCAGTATTCGAAGCAAACAGACAGGCATATTGTAATTATCAAAAGCATTTATTAATAAATGCTGGATCTGTGATTTAGCAGCTAGGGTATCAAAGGCTGGAAAATTGTTAGAGGGACAACTCAGGTAAGCGACCACATAAATCTGATTGAGGACGAGTGAGTGTGAGCGTGAGTCACTAAGCTGGTCTTAAGAGGTCAGTCAATGCCCAGAAGAAGGAATAGAATACACCCAGATGGCTACCAACAGCACACGTCGAATGCCGCCCAAAGAGTTCCGGCAGCCGAAGCCTTAATGATGGCTGAACTGGCTGAAGAGCAGATCCAAGCGGACGAAGGAAGGCAGGACTATCAGGAAGATGAAGCAACAGGAGTCCAGGCCAGAAGAACAAATATCCGAAGAGGTACCAAGGAGATATCCAAGGCGAAGTCAGTAGGTATGTCCACAAGCAGAAAATAGCAGGAGTCTGAAGACAGGTCAGGCAAACAGATCCGAAAGAGAAACAGGGAAGGCTAAAAGGTCCAAAGGCAGAACAGATGAGGATCATGCAATCAGAACACAAACAGGTACGCTAGAGACCTCGCACTGAAGGCTCTAATAATCTGACACCGATGACTAGAAGCAAGCAGTTTAAATAGAGACTAGAGCAGGTCACAGAGGGAACAGTAGTGAACTTTAAATAAGAGACTAGAAAAATCACATGCAGGGCTCCTCAAGGCTCCATTCTGGGGACCCTCCTATTCAACAACTACATGCTCCCCTTGGCTCAGATTATAGCAAACAGAAAGATCAGTTTCAATTTCTATGCAGATGACACAGCTTTACATCACAATGTCACCAGGTGACTGTGAATCCATCAGAGGGTTGGTTAGATGCTTAGAACAGATCAATATGTGGATCCACCATCTTTTTCTACAACTGAATCAAAACAAAACTGAGGTAAAAATCTTCAGACCAAAGCAGGAGAGATCCAGAGTAAGCTCACAGCTTCAGCTACTACAGCTAGAAACCAAAGATTGTGGCCAAAATCTTGGTGGCATAATTAACTCAGACCTGAACCTTCAGAGGTACATAAAGGCAGTTACTAAGTCAGCCTTTTATCACCTGAAGAATATTTGCAGGTTTAAAAAAAAAAATTCATCCATTTAACTTTAGTAGAATTGATTACTGCAACAGTAAGTTTGCCTAAAATGTCCAGACAGCTGTAACTGATCCAAAATGCTGCTGCCAGTGTTCTCACTAGAACTGAGAAAGTAGAGCACATCAGCCCTGTTCTGAAGTCCTGACACTGGCTCCCTGTAGCTCAGAGAATATACTTTAAAATCCTTCTGTTAGTCTATAAATCACTGAATGGATCAGCACCTCAATACATAACAGATTTGTTTCAGTGTATCAACCTCCAAGACCACTCAGGTGTTCTAGTTCAAGCCTACTCTGAACACCCAGAACTAGAACCAGACATGGAGAAACAGCATTGCTCAACTTATCTGGAACAAACTCCCAGAAGACTGTAAAAGTGCTGAGAGCCTGAGTTCTTCTAAGTAAAAGTTAAAAATCCATTTGTTTAGAGCTGTCTTTGACTGTTGAAGTTAAACTGATTAGATGAGATATTAGTTTAGGGTTGTGATCCAACTGTTTTATTTTCTTCTCTACCTGCTTTGATCATTTGTTTACCTGCTTTTATTCTGCTTTTTTGTGTTCCAGTTGTTTTGTTTGTTTCACAAATGTTTTTTTTTCCTTATATTTTATTATCTAATTCATGTAAAGCAATATGAATTGTCCAAGTACTGATTTGTGCTATATAAATAAACTTACTTTGCATTACACTCCAATTGATCAAACAACAGTTTAACTCGGACAAGTAGGCAAAGTCTGTGATGTATTTAGTGTAAAGTTACCACATGATCTATCTGACTTAAAAAGTACAATTACAATCCCCTGATTACCAAAATGTCAGGTTAGATGAAGGTTGGTTGGGGACCCAAATGCAGAAATGAGTTTAGCTTAGTTAATGAAAAAAGGCAACAGAAAAAAAAACCCAAGAACCAAAATACAGAAAACCAGAAACCAGGAAACATCAGGGGAAAACATACATGGGGAGCCAAGTAACAACAAGAAACCAGCCAAGAGTAACAGGAGGTGTATATATATTTATATATATATATATA